TCCCCAGTTCTACATCAGTTGTTTTCTTCCCTATAGTCCATGAGACTATAAAAGAAAAACCTGTTAACCCATTAGGCAACTTTGGGATAATTACTTAAAATGGAACCAGAACCCTATAGGCATGCTTAAAGATTCAAGATCATTTTACAGGAGTTGTGCCCTGCTTGATATTTGTACCCCTAGATTTGGCAGCCTAAGCCAATTAAGAGCCTATAAAGTGTCTACTGGAAGATTTAGAAGTTACGTCCCACTAGGCCTGATGGTTTTCAGGTTTGGTAGTCTGTGCCAACCATAGGAACAACTCTTGGAGCATTTACTAGAAAGTGTAAAGAAGTAAGTTCCGTGATATCCAGATATGTGAGTTGTAGGGTAAAGTGATAGGAGACTTTAGTGATAGTCAAAACAGGCAAAAAACAAAAACAAAAAGCTTTCTGTAGTTCATGCTCAAGTATGAACTCACATTTATGGTATAAGTTGATGCTCAGGTTAGAATAAGGGCAGTACGTCAGTTAAATTAGACTATTTATGTAATAGTTATTTGTAATCTTTGATCTACAATAAAATCCTCATATTTATTGCACTTTAGCCCTTAAAAAAAAATAAAAAAAAATAAAAAAAAATATTAGTAGCTGCTTGAAGAGTTTTAATGTCTTGACTAATTATAATTATATTATTCATGAGTACTAATATTGTTGATTTGTTTACTGTTTTTTTTATTATGAAGTAAACTATAGAATTGTAGAAAATTGTTTAGAAAGAAAAGATTGGAATTTCACTTTTATTAATGCTATTATTGATTTCAAGTAAATCAGTTAATTTGTAATAGGTTATAATTTTGAGTTCTCTTTTTTATAATAAGCTGAAAATAAGTTGAATAGTTTGATTAGAGATTTTAATTCTCTTTATTGTCAATTTTAAACTATTAATGTTAACTGAATTAAAAGCTTTTAAGATAGCAAAGGAAGCTGTTCCGATTGTTTATTAAGGTTGTTTGCTATTTCAATTTCAGAAAAAGTAATTGAGATTGATTCCATTATGCTTTTGTTTTTCAAATTAGCAAAGTTGTATCTTGAGAGGAAGTTATGCTTTAAGATAATGATTAATAGTCTATTGTTAATTATTTTTGTAAAAATTTTTCTATTGGTTTCTATTATTGTAAACAGATTTTTATTATCTTTAAATAAAAATTAAATTGCAAAAAGATTTTTTTCATATATTTTATTAACTTTCTTTATTAAATATAGTAGTAACTTGAAAATTTGAAACTAGTTATAACAATTTGAATACATGTTATAATTACTAGAGCTACTATTTATCAAAACAATATGGTGTCTCAAGAAATAAATTGAATTATTAATAGCATTTATAGTAATCTTGCCATATGAGATTAACAAGGGGTTATGATTATACTAATTTGGTATATAATAGTTTTTATTTTATTTTATTTATTATTCATTTTTTTTTATTTTATTATGTTTATATTTTTATATGGTTATACATATGTCTTTCATAAGATTAAGTCTTATATAGATACTGTATATGTATAATATTTTATTTTGTTTATTATTTTGGAAAATGTTATAACATTGAAAATATATTTAAAGATACTCTTTTGACCTTTAATAAAGTTAACTAATAATTTTACAATCATAAAATTATTTTAAAAGTCTTTAAATAAAAGAATTTTATTCATAATTTTTATACCAGTTCTTTAGAATTGTATAGAATTTATATCTTTTATATAGCTTATATAGAATTGTTTTTTTTTTCTGGTAGATAAACATCATTTCTTTATTAATAATATTATATTGAAAAGTTATATACATGGTGAAAGAAACAACATCTCTTGTGTGCAAAAATGCAATAAGTTAAATGTTAGTCTGTTTATACATCTTTACCTAACTAATATTTAAAATAAAATTTAAAACAATATTATATATACTAAATATAGCTGAATAGCGGCTATGCCTACTTATTTAGAATTTTTTGATTGGATATAAGATGAATAGGAAATAAGAAAAAATTAAAAAGAAAAGAAACAAAAAAGAAATTCTATATTTGTTATTATATAAATAAGAAGTGTAATAAAACTAATTATATAATTAATAATACCTATTTGAAACACTACTTTGGTAGTTCTATTCTGTTTGAGTATATTAAAGAATATACTTTTTTGATTGGCCAGCTACTATCAAAAATATATAGTAGTGATGATGACATATTTTCTTGATAGCTAATAGTATGTGGTGATAGTAGTTGGTTGGTTGGATAGTTGTTTAAATATAAGATAATAAAACTAATTATATAATTAAAGAGGCTTATTCAGTGTGCCACTCTGATAGTTCCAATCTGTTTGAGTATATTGGAGAATATACTTTTGTGATTGGCCAGGCTACTGTCCAAAATACATTGTATATAGTTGTAATAATAATGTATATCCTTAATAATTAATAGTATGTAGTGGTAGTGATTGATTGGTTGAATAATTGATTAAATGTGATAGGTTTAGGTATAGTAGTTGTTGATTTGCAAAGTTAGAGCTATGTTGTTGTTTTTTAATTGATGATTGATGAAACATGTTTGTTGTTTTGGTGTTTATTAATAAAATAAGATTATGTAATTGAATAGATTTCCATTTTTGGTGTTGTTTACATTGATTTTTAGTTGGTATAATAGACATGTTTAAATATTTGGTGATATGTGATTAGTTGAAGATAGGATGTTGATTAGTTGCCAGGAGCAAACTAATTGCAGTTTTTTGGAAAAAAATTTTTTGAACAAGAATTTTTGATTTTTTGTAGCACAGTAAAAAGTGTTAAGTGATGGTAGAAGTTGTTTTTTGTATATACTAATAGTTCCCTAGGCCAGTAATATAAATAAAGTTAATGTGAAAGTTTGTGTTTTGGAATAAAATAAAGTTCTCCAAGTCAAAAACGTGAATATTTAAAAGTGGTTGTGTATTAATAAAAGGTGTTTTACTAAGAAATATAAATAGGAAAAACTCCAAGGAAAACTTGTAAAGAAGAAACTACCACAAGCCTTTTCTTATACGATTCAAGAGAAAAGCAAGTTCCTCAAGCTTGCTTACTCTTAACCAGAGATTCCATCTCGATGCAACAGTATGCTTCTTTAGTTCTTTAAGATTTTTGATATTGAAAGTTAAAGAGGTGTAAAGAACTTGTAGATATTGGAAAGTGAAAGGAATATTTTCTTTAATTTTGAAAAATTATGATAAAAGAATATTTTTAAGAAAAATGTTGTATATGAGAAAGAGTTTTTTTTTATAGCTTATATAAAATTATTAAAAAGTTATTTAAGTATTAATTAATATAGTCTTTAACTTTTATATATATATATTTTTTAAATACTAAAGTGAGACAACACTCTAGTTTTATTAATATAGATAGTTTTTGTTACTTATGTGCTATGTCTAGACTATATTAATCTTATATTAACTAGAACCTACCTACAAGTTTAACCTATCCAGGTATAGTCTGCCACCCTGCTTGCTTACTCAAGCATTACCTATCACATTTCTTTCTTTTCTATCTGATTCTAACTTCAATTCTATCCATAATTATCATCTTCTTTTTAGCTACCCAAGAACGGCCAAGGTCTTTCTGCCTTTGTAGCTACCTTTTTGGAATAAGTAACTAGCGAGCTGACGTATTACTGGATTGGGAAACCTTTTCATGGAAGAGATGCCTTGATATCCATAGGGAAATGATTATCAATTCTTTTTATTCTTACTGAAACAGGTATCTACGCATTTCTTGCTACTTCTGGCGATCGTTATGTCACCAACCGGATGATCGTCACGCCACTACGCCTTTTTTCTTGATAGTCACAATCTCATTGCTTGCATGATCGCATGTGAAACAACTTATATGAGAAACGACACTTTGACAGGTTATAGTGCCGGATACTATATTTTATTCTTTTATTCAACTGCGTTCACCTGAAGTTGAACCGGTATCTTGTGATCTGACCTGTGGAGCACTAACCACTGTGCTATAGACCCACAGGTCAATAAGTTAAATATTAACTTGTTTACAATAATTATATAATTAATATTGAAAAGAAATTTTAAAACAATATGTTTTGTTAAGTAATATTAAATAGCCATAAATATTTATTCAATATTAAAAAAAACAAAATTAAATAAAATTATGAATATATTTAGAACAATTATATTTATGTTAAATAAATTTTTTGATTTCTTAAAATTATGTTTATATTAGAATAATAATTTAAATATATTATAATTGATAATAATTTTTTAAATTAAAATATTAATTATTTTTTTATTTTTTATAATTATAATTATATTTAAAAAATTAAAATATATTAAATATATTAAATGGTTAATATAATATAGTAATAACTTTATAAGTATATTTTTTTTATAATAATAAATATTTAATAAATATTTAAATTACAAAAGTAATATTATAGTTTTGGTGTTAAAGATTCAATAATTATATTATTTAAAATAATATTTAACTTTAATACACGTAATAATTTTATTATATAATTTTTTTTTATTCAATATATATAAACTGATTCGAAGTCAATAATAGTAATAATAATAAATTATAATATAAGATATTTTAAAGTTAAAAATATTTAATATACTTTTTTATATTTTTTAAAATTTAATTATTTTACAAAAGAAATTTTATATACCAGATACTGTAATTTAAAAAATTTTTATATGCGCGCGAGTGACGACATGATGAGGTTACCTGATTTCTTATCATCGACACTATTAGGTGTCACAATTAACCTGATTTTTGATCTGAGAAGTGGCGTGCGTAAAGTGCGTAATATATAACTCGTGTGAGTTTGGCACAAATGTATTGGATCGAACTTTTCTTGCACTCGTGTTTAAAAATTTGACGCAAAAATTACAATATATAAGATATTCTTATAAAAAGATTTATCTCAACGAACACTTCCTAAAAATTTTTTTCGAAAAGTAAGTTGTAAACTTTGAAAAGATGCGTCTCGTTATTCGCCAAGATTATGATGCAGTCTCAGAGCATATGGGTAACAGAAACACCTTCATATCTTATTGCTTTAAATCACCTTGAAAAAATAACCCTGTCTCTAAAATCCTATATTATCAACATTATTTCTTAGCTGCTTATATTAGAGATCGAATCAACGAGTTTAATCCAACTCCCGAAAAACCATTTGTTCTTGGATTACCCACCGGCTCCTCACCAGTAGGAGTTTATAAGAATTTAGTGAAATATTATCAAAATGGAGAATTAAGTTTTAAAAATGTCGTAACTTTTAATATGGATGAGTACGTTGGTTTACCGAGGTATTTATTTATTTTTTTTTATATATCTCGTACATACATCGTACAGAATCGATACATATCCACTTTCTTTTTTTATACAGAGATCACCCAGAAAGTTACCATTCATTTATGTGGCACCATTTGTTTAAACACGTGGACATCCTTCCACAGAACGTCCATATCCTTAATGGTAACGCAGAAAATTTGGATGATGAGTGTAAAAAGTTTGAAGAGAAGATGAAGGCTTTTGGTGGAGTTGAGTTATTCTTAGGAGGTGAATTAATTTCTATTGAATAAGGTTGGGATTTCATTTTTTCATTAAAATAATTATTTAAAACAGGAATTGGTCCCGATGGTCACATTGCGTTCAACGAACCTGGTTCATCTTTGAGTTCACGAACTCGTGTTAAAACTTTGGCCTATGACACAATTTTGGCAAATTCACGCTTTTTTGATAATGACATTAGCAAAGTACCCAGGATGGCTTTAACCGTTGGTGTAGGGTGAGATTATTTTATTTAAAACTGAAATTCTTCCTTTTATAGAGATAATATTAAGTATCGATTACATTGACTTTTAAATGAAGAACCGTGATGGATGCCAGAGAAGTAGCTATCATTATTACAGGAGCTCATAAGGCACCCGCATTGGCAAAGTGTATTGAAGAAGGTATTTATTTAACAATAGGATTATTCACTATCAATCGAATTGACTCAATTAACCGTTTAACCACTTTCCATTTATATTCGTTAGGAGTTAACCATATGTGGACAGTATCTGCAATTCAGTTACATCCAAAAGCATTAATTGTATGCGATGAAGATGCAACTTTGGAGTTACATGTTAAAACAGTGAAGTATTTTAAGAGCATTGAACACGTAGTCAATGATTTAATCGGAGCTGAGAATGTGGGATTACAAGGTAATGTATTGTATTAGGTGTTTAAGTCATAAATTCAAGTGATAAGGATTTATTTATTTATTTAATCTGTTAAATTATTATATTTCTTGAAATGATTTGAAAAAAAAATTATTATTATTTTTTGAGATCATTCCGCTCTTTATAACACTTATAATGATACTTAATTAATCAATAAATATCATTAAATTACATATTAACTGACATGTATGAATATAAACTAACTTTATAAATCATACGCCTCTTTTATTTTTTACTTGTATCAATAATCCATATCAATTAATCAAATCATAATCAATTCGAACTCCAATTGCAATTTAATGGCAACCTCCGTCCGTTATCACTGCAAACGCCGTTACGTTTCTTCTCGAACAAATGACTTTCGACTGTGACCTACGGATGCGGCTCTTCATGATGCAACTTTCTCCAATGCAATCTTCTAACGGATGAATATATACTATATATTAATAATTAACGAATAACCATTTATATTAATTTTTAATTTACTTTTGTGACGGCTGAATACAGGTAACATTAAGTATTATCCCACTCCAGAAGTAACTCCTACTCGGGAGGCATTTTATAACTTACCGTTCAAGAAGTAACTCAGTGACAACGGTATTATGAATTTGAGTTCCTTACATTGCTAATAATAATAATAATAATAATAATAAAAGAAAAGAAAAGAAAAATAAAAAAAAAATAGAAAAAATAAAAAAAAAAGAATAATTTTTTGTTATAAGTAATCTAGCAAAAGAACTTTAGAATAGAATTTAATACCCTTAATCTTTATATTTTTTGGCAAGAATTCATGTGCTTTAGAACTAAAATAGTCAAGGGAATTTTGTTGGATATTTGTGCGTTTACTATTTACTATTAAAGAATTGGCACTCAAGAAATTTTATAATATATTCAAATCGTTCTAAAAAAAAAAAATTGTGACATTTGATTTATAAACAAACATAAAGACAAAAAAAAACCGTTTTTATTTGATTCATTAGAAGCTTATTATATAATTTTGATTTAATAAATTTGATAAATTTACGACTTTAGATTTCAATTACAAAAAAAAAATTTTTAATAAGTATTCTTTTTATAATTAACATAATCTTTTTAAAATGCGTTGAAATACTTATTAGGTATTTGGATAAATTATTGTATATAAAAAAAATAATAAATTTTTTGCTAAAAATTTAATCTTGGCTTTTTTAAAATTATATGTAAAATACATAAGATTTTACAGGATTAATAATATGTTGATTTAAAACGATTTAATTATTTTTTTAGTTTATGTTGTTATGATTAATTTAATTGTAATTGTATTATTTATTTAATTATTTATTATTATTATTATTATTATTATTGTATTTTTTACAATCAACAAATTTATTATTTCTTTCAAAAAAATTATCTCTTGAATATAATAAGCATATATTGTATCCATGTATTTATTTTTATTTTTTTATTTTATAATTTAAAATTTATTTGAAATATATTCTGTAATAATAATTTATAATGTTGACTTTTTTGATAAAAATACATTAAATAATTTGTTGATTTATTTTTTAAATTAATTAATATTATAATAATATAAATTCACATATTAAAAGTAAAATATTAAATAACAATATTAAAAAAATTTTTTATATATTTAATATAAAAGTTAATCTGATTTATTATATATAATAATTATTAAGAATCCTAAAGATTCTCTTCAATTCTGTATTCGATTCTCAAGTTTATATTAGATTTAATAGATGGATATATTCCACCATCATTTTTAATAGTGTTCCGAACCTTATTTGATTCCTAGCAATTCTGTTCGATTCCAATTTTTGGAACCATAATAATTATAGAATATTAAATAGATAATGTTAAATAAAAAATAATTATAAATAATTAATACTTGTTTATAAATATTAAATAAAAAAATAATTTTATTATATAAATATTCAATAAATATTTTTTTGTATTGAAATTTTGTTTTTGCTATTTGAACTTATAAAATTATAAAATAATTAAAAATTCTATTATTAATTTTGAATAGTTTTAAAATCAAATTAAAATAAAATAAAAGTTAAAGTAAATAACTTAGTATTTATATATAAGTATTTGTAATGTTATTGTTTTTATTATATACTTAATAACCAGTATAAAGTAAATTAATTAATAAAAAATAATATAAGTTATATATTGTATATGTGGCAATACATATTAAATAAATATTTAATATTTTAAAATTTTTATTATACCACGCTTATTTAATTTAATTTGGGTTTTAATATTTATTAAAAATTTATTATTTAAAATTTTGATATAAGTTATAAGTAATATATAAATTTTTATTTACATGACTTTTATTTATCAAAAAAATTTTAAAAACTTTGTTATATATCTCACATATATATTTATGATTTTATTCGCAACGAATTTTTTTATTTCAAGTTTATGGATATATATTTTTAAAAAATTATATAGAATCTCCTATTAATAATCAAAATTAAAAGCTTTTTCGCAATACATTGTATATTATATATTATATCAAGTTTTTTGTATATACGGTATTTCATAATTTTTACATAATTTGTATATTTTGAGTACAGAAATTAAGTTACAATATGAATTTTTTGAAATTTGTCATTAAAATAATAATCTTTTATCAATGAATTTCTTATTATCCTTATCACTCTTTTATAATATTTAGGTTAACCAAAAATATTCTTGTTTCATTTTGAATGAAAACCTTAGTCTGCGCCTAAAAATATCAAATTATGTAATTATTACGATAATATATAGTAACGTACTGTGCTATAATGCCTGAATGCACATCTTGCATGCGTATGCTAACAAATTGACGTTATGGGAACTAGCCAGAAGTAATGAAAAAACGCCCTTTTTTTTTTGTTATGTAACATTCGACAACGAAAAGGTTGAATCAAACAATCGAACCATAGCTCGAATATTTATACGTGATGCACCTTTTTAAAGAATCATACGTATTTCGAAAAGTGCCTGTAGATACACGCTTTTTTCGGAATGCCCCCAACTAGTAAGGTTTACAATTAGCTCATTTTGGTAAGCATTTCTAAAAAAAAAAAGTAGATTATTCAAGTAACTTCATTTATGCGGCGCTTATTCGGGTACTAAAAACAATTATAAAACGTCGTAATACATTACTACCCTCATCTCGATCTCCACGCATTTTCCATTAAAAAGAGAATGGCCCTCATCTCATTTTCAAACATTCGTTAATCCGTCGGCCATTATACATCCGAAACATTATTAAAACAACTTTTCTTAACTACTACGCATCTACAGTCACTAGTTAAGGAGAAATGAAGTTCGCATCATTAGTAGTTCCAATTGTTTTGATGTGTGTCTTAGCCCTTGCCTCTCCCACGGCAACTCAAAAATATCCTTATTGTGACCATGAACAAAATGCAGTCGTTGAAAAAGATGGCATATCGAAATGCGCTCCTTTGACTACTTGCCAAGAAGTTTCGGATGGTGAATGTTATTGCATAGCCGATTAGTCGGGCTATGAAATTAATGTAAAATATGTACATTAGCTTATCAAGTCTCCATATTTTGACCAAGTATTCGTGGAGACATAATATATACATATTTCTTCTTTTTTCTTTATATGAACAATAGATAATTCGACACTTTAATATATCCTCCTTTTTCAAGTTAATTAGAAACGGGAAATTGAAAAGAAACTTAAATTTAACCTTTGTTGGTAGTTTTGTTTACTAATAGTAATCAAAGGAAAGAAGTTTTTAAAACTCTTTCATCATTTTGAGTGTGTGATTTGAAATAGAATTCACATACAACGGGCCCGGAATGTATTATCATTTCTCACTATTAATTCGTCGCATTACAGTTTTCACTTTATTGGTTTTCATAATCCATTAAAGTGGCCGTAATATCTAGAATATGTTATGTATTTTTTTTAAATGTACCGTTTATGTACTTTAGTTCAATTGTCTACTGAAAGTAAAGGTTACAATCAATTTCCATGACTCTGATCGTTTAAATTATATTATTATGCAAATGATATAATGTCTCGAATTAAAGTTCTTTAAACCGTATCATTGATATTCATTTTACTTTTTGTTCAAATCTTGGATACTCGACGTGAAATGTTTTTTATAGGTTAAAAGGAGTTTAAAAAAATAATGATGTACTTCTTTATAAATTGACGTGTAATAACAAGTACATGTTCGTTTAATAAAATTAGATTATTTGAAAAATACTTTTACAGTATATACTTTTATGTTTCTTAGATAATCTTGTCATGTGAAGTGAATACTAAAAGCTTGATCTGTATAAAATATATTTAAAAATGAGCTGATCTTGGAAATTGCAAAGATTTCAAAATATTCAAGTTATAATCTTCAATGTTAAATATATAAATAAGCAAAGATATAGTTAATATTCAATATGTAGATGTTTTATGACTTGATGTTTTCTTTAATTAATGAATATTATTATATTAATCATCTTTGCAAAAATAAATTACGTAATTAAAACTTATCAGAATACAGATGCATACAGTATATAAAGCTTTAAAAATTAAAGAATAATAATAATAATAATTAATTAATTTCTAACTATATTACTAATTGTATATATATGCTTATTAAATAATAGTAATAAAAGAAATAATATAATTTTTAAATTTAAATTGTAACTTGAATTTGTATAATTACAATTTGAAACAAAAATAATTATAAAAATTAAACTTTATATTTTTTTTAATAATATAATAATTAATTGATGAATTAAAATAAAAATATATATTTTACCTACTAAAAAAAAAATAAAAATAAATAAAAATATATATGTATATATTTGAAGATAATATACAGTATGAGTCATATATTTTTGGAATTTTTTTAACTTTGTATTTTATCTTAATATTAAATAAAAAAATCA